TGTGAACTAAGCTGGTTTGTTATAGTGGCTGTAGTTGCTCTTAGTTGGAGAATTAGAATAAACTCATTCTGAAGATTTAATTTTACCTAAAATTGTTTTAGGCTCTGAAATAGTAAAGCCTGTCCAAGAGAGGATCGTGTGGTTCACTTGGGTTTTGCCACACATGCCTCTGGCAAGTAATAGGTCATTGTCACGGAGTACAAGGGTCTTGACACCTGCAGTGAACCTGATTTTTCTCAATAGCACACTGAAACGGAATGAACTTAGACTGTAATGGAATTTAGAAATATGCCTCTTTTGATGTATTTTAGGCCCCATTACAAGAATAAAAAAATTATTTTCTTCCCTGGTTTTCTTCTGTTTCATAAGCTATGATGAGAATTGTGCACTTTTGTTAGTACACTTACTAGCCTGTCTGAGGGTGACAGCTAGGGTGTTTTGTCACTGATTTGTATTTCCCAGGTGTAACCTAGGCCTTACTCTTAGTAGGTCTTCTGTAGACGGTTGTTGCGTTGATCCAAGGAGACACGTGCATACGCACATGTGCAGCCTGTGCACGTGGTGTATGATCGCCCTCATGAACCTTAGCGTTCGTGTTAGTCAAGTTCAAGTTGTTCTGAAGTATAATAATGTTTTAGACTTTCTTTTTTCTTTCTTTAAACAGATAGAGGGACGAGAACAGAATCACCAGCACTGGCTGAAGGTAAATATGTCTTTGGGGGAAATGATTATTCGAATACAAAGAAAAGTCATGATTTAAATTAAAACATACATTGGCTAAACCTAATTTAAGGAAAATGTTCTGTGCATAATATTTAATTGCTAAAAATATCTTTAGGGAATAATACCCTATATTGTTTAGTTTGTGGCTTAGACTAGGAAGTAGTAGAAAAATGTAAATTAATTAGAACCTTTTTTTACAGCTTTCTTTCAATAGGAGAGGTATGTGTTTTGTTTGTAAATTACCTTTTACGTGATTTCAGCTATCACCAGTGTAGTTGGTCAGAAAAGGTCTAAGCCATAATTCTAGTAGATTAAAATATTTATTCAATTGGAACCTACAAGGGAGGACAGTTTTACATACATTCATAATAAGAATTCTACCAATTACTGCTTTTGATAATTGTTAAAAAGTCTTAGAAGTAAACAGCACAACAAAAAATAGTTACTGTTAAATGGTCCTATGTACTTAAACATTAATAGTTCTGTAACTGTAACAAGTTAATGGGTATTTGAAAATATCATTTTTCTATAGATCCTATGGTTGGTGTTCTTCAAATGAAAATGATCAGCTTAAATCTGTTGGTGCTCTTCCTAGCCATAAATAGAGACATTTATATTTCGAAACTTGCCTGGCATTCTGTTAGACCTGCCGTGCCTGTTACCAAGATGTCCTTTGGGACTGGGATCGCCGTACCTGCTCTGCACGTCAGTGCGGGGAGCTCTCAACCATGTTTGGTGCCGCGACTTCGAGTGTAGCCTGTGAATCCCTTCTCAGAATAATTATTGTAATGATTTCTTTAGGAAGTAAAAGAGGATTAAAAAGGGAACCAGATATATTGAAAAAGTTAACACATATTAAAAATACAAATTTCTGTTAGAGTTATGTATATACTTCTTACCGAGAATAAGCTTTGGTGACAGTTCTGCTAAATACTTAACTATAATTTTTAAAAGTGAGGAGTTGACAGTAATTAATAAAATATGAAAATATCTCTTATTTTTATTGATGACAGGTTCATACTATGGTTTGTTGCTTTTATACTCTTGATTGAAGGAATTGCTAAATTTTGCATAGTTAGTGAAAAGTTTCCCATCCAGATTCATAGGCACTGAATTCTCTCTCTCGACCCCAGATTAAAATCAAACTCCTGTTAGCAAAGAATCACCTAGGCCTTTTTTCCTTCATCATATTTGATAAGAGAGGTTTTTTTATGTTCTTTGTAACTAATCTTAAGTTACACTACACATCTATACCTTAAAAAACATCCTAATGGTGTAGGCTAGAAGTTTTTGAACTAGCTTTGAAAAAACTTCTGATTGATGGTTAATAATCATGAAACAAGATTCTGTGGAAAATGGTGTAGAAGATAAGTGTTAAACCTTGGAATTTGCTGCCTCAGAGGAACTCACATTCTTGTTCAAGAAATGTGAACTATACATGTAAAAAATAAAGTAGTTCAAGATGCCAAAAGTTTAACAAGAGAAATGTCATAATTAATTGCCATAGGAAGGATGCAGATAGTAAGTGTTCTGATGCTGCGGAAACACACAAACAAGCTCAAGGCTGGCAAAACCATCCAGTGTTCTAAGCTGCTTCAGCAGGAGCTGTACAATGACAGTGTGCCAGCCTCTTGTTAGGAAGAGCCCAGAGTGGCCTCACTCGATCTGAGTGTGTGTTCAGCACCTTGCAGCTGACCGCAAATGAAGGGCAGGGCAGATCTATTGAAATTCGGTTGGCAGCAAAAACAGCACTAATACTTGTTTTGAGGGGAACACAGTGGGTATCTTGACTTGTGGGATTTTTTTGGTTCTGTCAATATGATCTGACCCTGATGCCGTATTTTAAAGATGTTCTCAAAAGCTGCACTGCCAAGGTCATCAGCTTAAGCTCCACTAAAAAAACCCCCAACAACCCCAAAACTAATTTGCTGCGTTTGCCCAAGTCACCAAGTTTCTATAGTTCTCCATCCCTTAAAAAAAAAAGTGAGAGAATTGAGCTACATGGTTTCAAGTCATTTCATGAACCCTATATTCTAAGCTCAGATTTTCTATCCTTTCTCATTTCTGTCACTTCCTTGCAACTTCAGACATACGGTGAAAACATTCAAAATAGTTAAATCGGTTGAACTTTGGTTTGAATAAATATTGTCCTTGTATATGCAATGTAGAACTTTAAAAGCTATAATTATTGGATAACAATGTACTTAGTTTAGAAAACTACATGATATATACATTCTGCATTTGTCTTACTTAACATTTTGAAAAAAACCATTTAAAATGAATGTGCTCCAGTATAAGAAAACAGTGGAATGCCTCCTATTTGTTGTTAATAAGTTTTTCTGGGGGTGGTAAATCAGCTTTTACAGTGTTATTTAGTGAAAGGTATCAGGCCTTGTCATTTGAAAGTAGTTATGGAGTATACTTTTAAAATTTACTCAGCGAATCTGTCTCCATTGTCCAACCAGTATTTTTTAAAGTGATGCAATGAAAACACATTCAGTTATAATTACCTCCTCCTCTGCAAGATCAAAATGTAATGTCCTCTGTTGGAGTCTTTTTAGCATTATATGAGATACTGATTTATAAATGTAGAATTATTCAAGTACCTCTCTTTAAAATTATGTGATTACCAAGAAGAGAACATTTATATTTTGCTGTGGTATACTGCTTATGATGAACCTTAAGGAGTTATATTTAATTGAATGATTTTAATTGAAGTTCAGGAACAAGGGAAACATTTGGCAGTGACCTCCTATAATTTCACTGTATAAATTCTTCAGTGTGCCAGGCTCAGACAGAAAGACCTGACAATGCTAGGGAAATATTTAAGCCAGCCAGCCTCCCTCCCTCCCTCCCTCCATCCATCCCTCTCTCTCCCTCTCTTTCTCCCTTTCTCTCTCTCTTTCTTAATTTTTATTAATTGATTTTAAGAGAGAAACTTTGATTTGTTGTTCCACTTATGTATGCAGTCATTGGTTGCTTCTTGTATGTGTCTGGACCAAAGATTGAACCTGCAACCTTGGTGTATTAGGATGGCCCTCTAACCCAGTGGTCCCTGACCTTTTGGGCACCAGGGACTGTTTTTGTGGAGGTTTCATGGAAGACAGTTTTTCCACAGACAGGGTGGGATTGGGGAAGGATGATGGAGGTCAGGTGGTAATACAGTGGGGAGTGGGGTGAAGCTGGGGGGCGTGGAGCTCAGGTGGGTATGCGAGTGATGGGGGAGCAGGATGAAGTTAGGCTGCTAGTCACCTCTTGGGGTTTGGGTAGCCCTGCTCTCATCATCTGAGCTACCCGGCCAGGGTAGGACATTTCCTGGTGTATGTCTGCCATCTTTTCCTAGTCATCTTGTGATTTTTTTCTCTTATTGCTACTTCAGACATTTTAATACTAGTATTGAATTAATTTTTTTCAGAAACAACTGAAATTTTTTGAATCTTTTGGGATGAATTATGTGTACTTTCATTTATGACTAGGAAGCAATATGGTAAAATGGTCAAGAGAACTGTTGGAACACAGATTTGCCTGAGTGAGAATTGCAGCCTCACTGTGTAGCAAGTTACTTCTTCTGATCTTGAGGTTGCCCAGAAGTAAAATGAGGATTGTAATGCTAACCAACCTCAAAAAATGGTTGAGGATTTTACAAGATAATACTGTACATACACTGCTTAGTGTAGTACTTGGCCCGCAATGAGATCTCATTTGTTGACTTTCACTTTCATCTGGTACTTAACAGCATCCAAGGCCTTCTGCGGGTGCTTGGACACAAAGGTGAAATTCTTGTCATATTCAAAGGGAAATGGTTCTGTTGCCCTTACTTCCTTAGTCTCTGTTTAAGAAGGTCCTTATGGTGAATATTTCCTCAGTAACTCCTTCTAAACATTATTCTCTTTCAGAACCTAAATCTCCATAATTACTTGACAGGAGATACCTTGTTTGTAATTTTTGGCCTGTGTGATTATATGTATATTGTCCGTTGGATAACTTTCTTTGGACTTCAGTTAAATATGTATAGTAAGATATTTCAGATACTTCAGTTAAATATGTATAGTAAGATATTTCAGGTGGCTCAGGTATTGTTTTGTTTGGTTCCAGGAGGCCAGGGAGAGCTGGGGCCAACGAGGAGAAATTAATGTCAGTGAATTTCAGCTTAATACAAGTTTTATGTGATTCTTGAGGGCAGAATTCATGTTGGATTAATTGTGCATCATTTGGTCATTGGCTGAAGTTTCTAGAAATTGACCAAAGTCTAAAATTTAAATCATTTGAAAATAGAGTGCTTAATGGTTGTCTTTCTGATTGCCTAAAGCAACGTGAAAAATTCATTTTACCAGCTATGAAAGCTCTTGAGAAAAATAAAAGAAAATAGAGTGACTTATTGGGTATAGCCATGAAGAATAAAGTACAGGCTAGTTGGCTCCTTGTCATCGATATTATAGAATAAATTCATACTGAGGTCGGATGGTCAAGCTTCAGTCTTTCATTGTAGCATGTATCTAAGTCAGTTTGGGCCACGGTGACAAAATACCATAAACTTAGGTGGCTTACCAACCACAGAGTTTATTTTTCACAGTTCTGGTGGCTGGAATTTCCAAGGTCAGCGTGCCAGCTTGGTCGGGTCCTGGTCGGGGCCCACCATTGCCTTGCTGTGTCCTCACATGGTAGAGCTTTCGGGAAGTCCTCTGGGGTCTCTTAGATAAGGACACTGATCTCGTTCACCAGGGCTCTGCCTTCATGACTTAGTTATTCCCTCCCAAAGGCTCTGTCTGGGCATTATGATCTCCACACATGAATTTTGAGGGGACAGACGTTCATAGCAGCACGAGTAGTCCTTTCCTGGTCTAAGATTTTCTTACTCATTGATAATTGGATATAAGGTCATTCTGCTTGATGTCTTCCACTCCTCATAGTGACTGTTTCCCATTAATGTTAAGAAGGGACCCCAACCCATCAAAAAAGTAAGGAATATCTCACTTGAGAGAATACTTTACCTTTTAACTCAAATTATGAGAGAAAGAAAGGAGAAGGAAGGGCTTTAGAAACCTCTCGACTCTGTCAGTCAGGGGACGATAATGAGGATTGATGCTCATTCCTTTATGACATATCCTGGCAGATTTCCTTGAGTGTATCATTTATACAGATTGAAAAGCACAATAGAGTACTGTGTTCTGTATGAATACATACCTTTGTAGTAAAAAACTAAGTGTGTTTGAAAAGGAAGCATGCTTTAGGTTCTGGTTACCTGAGGATATGGGGGAGGAGAGGGGAGGGAAGTTGGCTGGGAGGGTTGGGGTGGTTAAGCACAGAGATGTAGGGAGGCATCTGAAGCAAGTACAGCAGAGTGTCCCCGCTTTAATCGGGGTGGTAGAATATGAGTTTTTATGTTTGAATTGTTTCCTGCTTTAAAGAAAACAGGACAGAATCAGCCTCATTGGGAAGCCTTTGGTCAAGTGTTCCCTTTTCTGTATGTTTTTAGTGTTGTTTGCTTGCTTCTGTTTGAAAGAAAGCCACACTGTCTCGTGCAGTCTCTTCCACCCTCTGGATTTTTCAGTGCCAGATACTCAGTGTCTGTCACGGAGATTGGCAGGCGGGAGCTGAGCAAAGGTAGCGTGACTTAAAACAGCAACCAGCAGGACCAGGCACTATAATCACCGGATGTAGAAGGATTCGATGTTTTACATAATGGTGAGGCTTTTATTTATTAGATCATCCATGCGTCGTCATATGAGTGTTAGAAAGAGTTCAAGCACCTGCATTCCAACCCAGTTATTTTTGTTGGGTGTTTTTGAGTGAGTTATATACTCTTTGAGCAACAGTGGCTTTACATTTTTTAAACTTTTCAAATTCTTGATACATACAAAAGAATGTATATACCTTTATTTGTAAATGTAAAAACCTAAAAAAAAGACACCAGCAGTTGAGGAACTAGAATGTTACCCACACTTTGACATTGCCCAGTATGATGGCCTTTTCTCCCTAGAAATAAGCACTAGCTTAAATTTTGTGTTTATCATTCCCATGCATTTCAGTATATATAGTTTACCAAATATGTATATATATGTAATTTTTTCATGGATTTTAAAATAGTGGGAAATTTTAAGAAAGTGAATTTGGAATACTGTTTTTAATTTAATGATCCTGTTTTTTCAAGAGAAACCTTCATAATAAATTCTTATAAATAGGTAATTTTGAATTTTGCTTGTTGTTTCATATTTTCATCATCCATCATTCTGTGCACTTCTAGATGACTTACCTTGGAACTCCGTGCTAGCCCTCCTCTGTACCACTGGGAGAGATGTGGCAGGACACATTGGTTCTGAGTTTGCAGCTGGGGCAGGGATTTGCATTGGTGTTTAATTTTAATGGCTGGAGGCATGGAAGAGTAGTTGTACTAGTACTCTCTGAATCAAAGTCAAAGATGTTGTGACAATTTAATATAATATAATACTATTTTATTATGGTTTACTTCCATTAAGGGGCAGTATTGATCTCCTGATTTGTTATATTTATTGCACATGGTCAGGCATTCTAGTAAGTCTTATTTAAATAGCTTAAATAATACTTTTCATTTTAAAATACTAAATCTAAGTATATCCACTAGATGTCAGCATTAGTAAAGATGCATGTAACATGTAAAATCAATGTCAGAAGCAATGTGAGAAACTCGGTCTAACAAGTAAACTGACTTATATGAAGTCGCTTATTTTGTGCTAGAGTCAAGACTAGAAATCAGGTTTCCCAGTTTTCATTCCATTGTGCATTTATGTCACATTTCTTTAAGGTGGCACATAACTTAATGCCATATAAGTACGAGACTAATACTATATGTTGATCTTGACATGTGGTAGGGAGTCATGGGGAGATTTTAGTATGACTGTAATGCTGCTGTAGCTGCGCACCCTGTCATAACTGACTCCTGCTTCTCTTATTTTACATTTTGCCAAGGAAAGAGAAGCATAGATTCACTTTATTAGCAGCTACACCAGTACCAGGCGATGATAGATTAGGTGGTATTGGTAAGGGTAAAGATTAAGCTATTCACTAGAACGTCCTCTGTATCAGTCAGATTTCAACCAGGAAAGCACAGACCTTGCTAGGGGTTTTAAACTGGGGATTCAACATACGAATTTACTTACATAGTATTGGAAGCCCAGAGGTCAGGAGATGGGGCTGAAAGCTCCAACCCTCTAATCATGCTTTGTCTTTTTTTTAGGAAGACAATCCTCTAGCCTTGTCTTTCTTTAAGGAGCCTCTGTCTTTAAGCTATTTAGGGGCCTTCCAAGAGTCACCTCATTAAAACAGAAGAGGCTCCTGTCACTCAGGAAATTCCAGGGGATTAGGAACTCTGTTAGGAACTGGGGATGCAGACCAAATATATTTCGCTCAGTCTAATATTCTCACAATGCAATATGCAAATCACGTATCGTAAAAATGTACACTTGATACCTGTATGACCCTGTTGGCCACTGACACCCCAATAAATTTAATGAAAAAAGAAAAACAAAATACATTGGGGAACAAACCAAATATATATATTCCTTTTTTAAAAATCACTTGTAAATAACTTAGACATTAATGGTAACCACAGGAAGCAAATATCACTTGTAAAGTTGGGGAAACAAAGGGAAGCGGAAGGGTAGGCAGGTTTTAGGAGCTCAAGGAGCCCTTTCAGTTGGAAGTGGAGACTTCTGGGGGGGTGGGCGCGCTGCACCGCGGCTCCGGGCTCACGGGGAGCCAGAGCTGGAGCGAAGCCTGTCTTTTGCTGACAGGATTGGAAAACCAGAGAGAGGGTCCTTTTTTCTCTCACCTTCCAGTCTGCTTAGTCTCCCACTGATGGAACCTAATGAGAAGTCGGCTGACAGTGCAGGAAATACGCTTTGCAGTTCTTAGTCTCAACATCACAAAGCAGAGGAATAGGCTTGGGGGTGAGAGTGTGTTCACCTCTGACAGTACAGCATTTATTTACCCGTGTCGGTTTAAGTACAGTAATATTTTCATGCTTCCCCTGAGTTCTAGTTCTTCGATAGCTCATGCTCAAATTGTCTAGGGATACGGGTGGGCAAAAAAACCCCCTCTGGATATAGAGTCCTGGAGGGGATGTTAAGTCTACTCATTTTATCAACAGCAGAACCTGGGTGCTTTGGTTCTACTTAGGCATGTTTACCACACAGAGATCAGAAAACAAGGAAGAGCAAGGGAAGAAGGGAAATCTTGGTGATGCCACTTAATGAATAAGTAGTCGTTGCCCATTGTTATTGTGCTAGAACAAAAGATACGATTTAGCAACCCCTCTTGTTGGGAAGGGTGGGAAGAGAAGTAAGTGTGGTGGGAAGGAGGCCAGGGTGCGATGAACCTCTGCAGGGCCCTCAGTAGCATAATGTCAGGGAGCTGCTGCAGACGCCCGAGTCAGAGGTTTCTCTCCGCCACTCTGGCACCCACCTGTGGTGCTTTTCAGCATCTTACATAAAGTCGGTCCATTCAGTACCGTCAGCTGCCATGTTCCTAACGTGAGTTGTAGTCTTATCAGAAGCTTGGGAGGAATTAGGATTATGCCTCTCCTTGAAATTATTTTGTGCCCAACTGACCCTTCGAATAGAAGAGGTGCCGCTGGATCCCACCTGTTTACAGTTATTAAGGTAATTCAGTAGGTACATATTGGATATTTACTCTGCACTGTGTTGAGGGATTACTTTGTGTGCTTGTATCAGAGGTGCACCAAATGCATATTTGGCCAATTAAGTCAACGCTTAACTAAAGCCAAAGCTGAATATCATCGTAAGATAAATTTTTTAGATACATTAAAAAACCTGAAAATTAGCCCTGGCTGGTGTAGCTCAGTGGATTGAGCGTGGGCTTCAAACCAGAGGGTCATGGTTCAATTCCTGGTCAGGGCATATGCCTGGGGTTGCGGGCCTGGTCCCCAGTGGGGGCCAAGTGAGAGGGGGCTGCACATTGATGTTTCTCTCCCTCTCTTTCTCCTTCCCTTCCCCTCTCTCTGAAAAAAAAATATTTTTATAAAACACCTGAAAATTTATCGAAATTGAATGATTACAATGTTACTAGTTTTAGTAGTCATATTTTGAATGTTATTCTTACGCTGTTTATCATCGGCTGCGAGGTTCCTCCTGGAGTCACTCTGCCACTTGTTCTGCAGTATCAAACAAGCGTTTGCTTTCAGTGGTGAAGTTGCCATTTCACAGTGGTTCTGCAGCGAGACTTTGTGCAGTGTTTGAGGAAGGTGGGATCTGGATATTTCCAGAAGCAGATGTGCTACGAGAGATTGTCGATACAATTTGAAATTTTTTTAAGTTTCTGCTATTTTAGTTTGTGCTTGCTGCTTTCTGC